TTCTAATCCCTCTCCACTCTATCCAAAACTAAAAAATAGGTTTTACCTTCAGTTATTCTATAATTTTTTTTTGTGAAATTTTTGCTTTTCCCCTACTGCATGTTCCTATTTCCCCTTTGGCATCATGAGATACGAGGGGCATTAAAGACAAACTAGGATTTTTAATATTACACACATAAAAAGGGATGCTAGTGTGGCGGTACTACATGCAGTAGTAAGTGGCAAGTGTGTCCTATTACTGATAGGGCGGCGCACATGTCATGAGATGCATTAAAGCCAGGATTTTTAATATTCCAGAGACCATTAATCAAGATGGCAGACAACAGTGTTAGTGCGTGCATGGAGCAATGTATGGTGATGAAGTTTCTTTTGAACGAAGGAGTAAAACCTGTGGAAAACTACAGAAGACTTCAAGTACAGTACAGTGATGAGACGCTCAGCCACAGTAAGACAGCTGAATGGTGTAAACTTGTCAAAGATGGCCGTACCTATGTCTGTGTGACGATCCCGGCCATGGTTGTTCCCAGCCCACAGCAGTCATTCCTGTGAACATTCAGAGCCTGATCCTGGATAATCGACATGTAAACTGTCGTGAAAATTGTACAAAACACAAATCTTTCTGTGGGAAGAGGGAACACAATGATGACGAAGTGAAGCAGGCTGTCCTAGGATGGTTCAGGCGTTCAAACCTCTTTCTATGCTACAGCTTTCCAGGCATTAGTTAAATGTTAGGATAAATGTATAAATGTAGCAGGGTAGTATGTTGGAAAACAAATGCAATTTCCACTCCATGAAATTTGTTCTTTTAGAAGATAAACTCAAAAGTCCCTGGTTGACTGCAACCCCCCTCATATTATAAAGTTATGAGTCACTGGCATAGCCATCAACAAATGACCTGTGAGAATTCACACACTACTAAATTTATGCATTTTTAGTAGCTTGCAGTTTCAATTCTCATATGCTAGAGGAAGGCAGTTCATTCATTAAAGTGGAACTAAGCTCTCTCAATCAACATTAACTATTTTTAATCCTTATGCTACTAGCATTAGTAATTAGATAGGAAGATATATTATATTTACTTGTTTTATTTATTTTTTTTTTACTTTTCTTTAATGTGCCTTCCTGGTTTCTGGCCTAGGCCAAAATGATGCTATACATCCCACAATCCTTCATTTTGCCATTTTTTTTCATTTATCTGGAAGAGGGAGGAGGGGCTTTCCCAGCTCAGCACACCCTCCTGTCTGCATGCCTGAGCTAAATGCAGATGGATCTCAGGAAGTAAATGCTATATAAATAATTTCCCTTACTCAAGATGGCTGTGGCTAGAAATGCTGGGAGGGTGTTTTTTATAGTGGTTTCTCAACAAAATAAAGCATGGAGACATAATTGGATAAGTGAGTGTGCTTTAAATATTAGAAATGCAGTAACTAATATTTTCTGTTTGTGGTGTCTGAATACAGTTTTTTTTTTTTCCCTCTTCAACCACCACTAGCAGTATCTTTAACAATATAGCAACTGTTCTATACAAAAAAGTAGGATGATTTCTTGACCATTCTGATTTTTGCCACTGAAATAAACATAGATAGCCTATTGTGGATCTTCGAGTTTGATTTGGACTAAGAACTTGAGGATCCATACTGCCAGGCCATTAGATGCCTATTTTTCAATTCCTATATGTTATGGTAAGCATGGACCTGGTCTTTATTTACTCCCATGACTGGAGTTAAACCTGCACTTTCCCATAATTCTCAGAAAATTGTAACCACTGAGCTAAGTGAAAGAGCCACTTAATTCTGTTTGCCCTCCAGGACAATTACTCGCTTCATTGGTAACCCAACAGTGTTTTATTCAGAACTAACTGGGAATTATTGGAGACACTTGTAGTATACTGCTAGCCATTGCCACACAGACATGTTTTTTTTCCTCTGTCTGGAATTTGCCTTCCATTATATGAAGCCTAATATTATCCACATTCAGCTGCCTGACTTTTATCTTGTCATATTGATCTATCCATGAGTCTATATTAGAAGATGGAGTCTGGATCAGTAAAAGGTAACCGCCATTAGAAAAGATAGCTGAAGTAAAATAGGCAAGGCAGCAGGACACTTAGCGCCTGGAATTGTACAATTTGCAGACAAGGTAAGTGACAGGGATAAGTGTCCCCTTCAACGCAAGATGTTACAAAACACGGACTGCATCGATAACCTCATGACCTCTCTTCACAATATTATACGCTTTAAGATTGATTTTTTTTTCCCATGTTTTTTCCTGCTGAAATAGATCTAAGTAAATGCTGGCTATGAATCCTCCTTGGCCTTACAATTTACAGGTCCTTTTTTTGTATTTGTTTTCTCTGATATGAAGTTTTCAAAATAATTCAAAAACTTTATACAAAAGGAGTTACAGAACTGTCTGAAGTCAAACGTGGGCAGTATTGAGCTTTATGCTGCGCCGGTGAATAAAACAAAAACTTACAATATAACAAAGAAAAGTAAACAGTGTTCGATGTGAGCCAAATATAAAGTCTTAGTTAAATCAAAGTCCATACACACTAACCAGTCACTTTATTAGGTACACCTTGCTAGTACGGGGTTGGACCCCCTTTTGCCTTCAGAACTGCCTTAATTCTTTGTGGTATAGAATCAACAAGGTGTTGGAAACATTCCTCAGAGATTTTGGTCCATATTGACATGAAAGCATCACGCAGTTGCTGCAGATTTGCCGGCATCCATGATGCAAATCTCCCATTCCAACACATCCCAAAGTGTTCGTGATTCCAACACATCCAATAGAGCACTATGTGTTGGAATGGTGCTCTATTGGATTGAGATCTGGTGACTGTGGAGGCCATTGGAGTACAGTGAACTCATTGACATGTTGTCAAGAAACCATTTTGAGATAATCTGACCTTTGTGACATGGTGTATTATCCTGCTGGAAGAAGCAATCAGAAGATGGGGACACTGTAGTCATAAAGAGATGGACATGGTCAGCAACAAAACTCAGGTATGCCGTGGCATTTCAATGATGCTCAGTTGGTACTAAAAAGCCCAAAGTTTGCAAAGAAAATATCCCCCACACCCAGGGCCAGTGCTAGACTATTTTGTGCCCTACGGGAGACCAGCTACTTGCACCCCCCACCCCCCCAAAAAAAAAAACTTTACCTGTAGTTCTACTTTGCCCCTCCTAGCACAAATCCTCTTTTCCCTCAAATTTTCCACCCTAGCACAAATATTCTACCCCAAATCCCCCCTCCTAGCATAAATTCCCCCCATCCCCCCTCTTAGCACAACCCCTCCCAATCCCCCCTCTTAGCACTATCCCCCCCAACCAAATCTCCCCTCTCCTAGCACAATTTCCCCCTCAAACCCCCCTCCTAGCACAACCCAGCCCAATCCTCTCTCTTAGCACAAATCCCCCCATTCCTCCCTCTTAGTACAACCCCCCCCGATCCCCTCTCCTAGCACAAAAATTTCCCCCAATCCCCCTCCTAGCCCCCCCCAATTACCACTCCTAATGCAAATCCCCCCCACCTCCCTCCTAACACAAATTCCCCCCAATCCTCCCTCCCAGCACCAAATTCTCTTCCTTTAATCCCTCCACCTAGGACAAATTCCCCCAAATCCCTCCTCTAGCTAAAACACCTCCAAATTATCCTTCCCAGCATAAAATCCTCTCACTTTACCCAACCCCCCCCCCCCCCTTTTAGCATGCCCCCCCCAACCTCCCCAAACCTCCCTCCTACTTTTAGCACCAAACCTCCCTCCTACTCTTAGCACCAAGTCGGAACCGTACCGCTATGACCACTCTAATAGCGGACAATAGGGTGTGACTTGGCATGCGATTTTCAAGTCGCCTGGCATGCAAATCGCATACCAAATTGCACCCTATGTGACAGGGGGGTATGCTATAACTGGTACAGCAGACAGCATGTTAGCAGATAGCATGGTTCCCAGGCACAAATCCTCCCCAGGTATATGCACTTTGACTCCGGAATCACTCCTCTTAAGCAGCAGCAAAAAGCAACTCCCACTGGAACAGAGAGAGCTCACCAAGGAGCCAACAGAAAGCTAGTGATAGTCAGGGGCGGACTGACCATTTGGAAACTCGGGCACTGCCAGAGGGCCTGGGGTCAGTTAGGGGCCCCATGAGAAGCCCCTGGTACCTTTTTCATAGGCTTTTTTGAGTTTGGGCAAGGACACAGGGGCCCCATTATCCCCTATTGCCCGGGGGCCCCATGAGTTGTCAGTCCGCCCCTGGTGATAGTATAGCAGTTTACCCACCTATACATAGAAAACCCAGCGGTGATTAAACACCACCAAAAGAAAGCCCTATCTGTCTAAAAAAATGATAGCAATTTCATATGGGTGCAGTGTTGCATGACCGCTCAATTGTCATTCAAAGTGCGACAGCGCTGAAAGCTGAAAATTAGCCTGGGCAGGAAGGGGGTAAAAGTGCCCGGTATTGAAAAGGTTAAATAAAGGTTTATTGCAGAACAGAGTTAGTTATCCAGTTAGAAAAATATGACAGCAAAAAGACAGTAAAAACTCACTGAGAGATGCTGACGAGCCGCGATCATGCAGCTGCGTGACGTTGAGGTTATTTTTAGATGCATAAGGTTTTCCCATGATTGATCACAGCTTGTTGATTTCTGAGACATGGGGTTGATTTACTAAAGGCAAATTAGCTGTTCACTTTACAAACAAATGTGCACTTAGTGAATGTGGTAAAAATTTACTTTGCAAAAAATACTCAGTCATGTGCAAGAAAAAAACCTGTTTGCGCATGACTGGATGATGGAAGTCAGCACAGCTTCCCTATAATTACTAAACTAAGGGAAACTGCCCTTGTAAAATGGACAGCCTAACTGCCTTTAACAGCCTGTGGTTGTACAGTGTGGTGCTGTGGCAGTAGTTACACAGAGTCTGGTTGCAGATAACCAAAAGCTTGTGTTGCTAAACCCAGGACCCTGCATTCAGTATATCTGGTCTCCTCGGACCCTGCATTCACTATATCCGGTCTCCCTGGACCTTGCATTCACTATATCTGGTCTCCCCGGACCCTGCATTCACTATATCTGGTCTCCCCGGACCCTGCATTCACAATATCTGGTCTCCCTGGACCCTGCAGTCACTATATCCGGTCTCCCAGGACTCTGCATTCACTATATCTGGTCTCCCCGGACCCTGCATTCACTATATCTGGTCTCCCCGGACCCTGCATTCATTATAGCTGGTCTCCTCGGACCCTGCATTCACTATATCCGGTCTCCCTGGACCTTGCATTCACTATATCTGGTCTCCCCGGACCCTGCATTCACTATATCTGGTCTCCCCGGACCCTGCATTCACAATATCTGGTCTCCCTGGACCCTGCAGTCACTATATCCGGTCTCCCAGGACTCTGCATTCACTATATCTGGTCTCCCCGGACCCTGCATTCACTATATCTGGTCTCCCCGGACCCTGCATTCATTATAGCTGGTCTCCTCGGACCCTGCATTCACTATATCTGGTCTTCCAGGACCCTGCATTCACTATATCTGGTCTCCCCGAACCCTGCATTCACTATATCTGGTCTCCCACAGTACACAGAACATGGAAATGCAATTATTTTAGTAAATATAAACTACTAAATTCCTTTTTTTCATCATCATTCACTTCCTGAACTATTCACAGCTTCTCTTCTCTGACACAGTCTCTGTTGAGTTTGGGCAAGGACATAGGGGCCCCATGATCCCCTATTGCCCGGGGGGCCCCATGATCCCCTATTGCTCGGGGGCCCCATGAGTTGTCAGTCCGCCCCTGACCACCCCAGACCCCAGATGAACTCCTCTGCACCCAGCAATCTGGAGACTTTCTTTCTGAGCAGGGGATCTGGCTTCTGTTCCTTTAAATTAGGAACACTGCATCCAAATGAAATTTATACCACATTTTTTGCACAAATAGAGCTTTCTTTTGGTGGTATTTAAAGGATAAGTTCACCTTTTGGACAAAAATAATAAATGCACATTTTTTTGCAGGTAAAAAATGTGCATTTATTATTTCTGTTCAAAGGAGCCTGGAGAGCTTACACCAGCGATCAGTAGATTGTTAATGCCCTGCAGGTCTCTTGCAGATCTGTCAGTATATCTGCTTGCCGTACAGGATGTATTGGATGTAAAGGATGTATAGGATGTACGGGAAATGTAAGGGATGTATGGGATGTATGGGATGTACGGATGTATGGGATGTTCGGGATGTATGGGATGTACGAGACGTACGGGCAAGCAGATATTCTGACAAAAAGCTTCAATGAACTACTCCACAGTGTCATGGTAATTCATTGAAAACTACAAGCCGACAGCCGCTAAGTCTAGGTTCACACCTATGCAGATTGCGTTTCTGGCTATTCTGCATTGCATTTTGTGTTGCGTTTTGGCACTTGCATTTTTGTCGCATTTTTTATGCTGTTTGCATTTTTTTTATTTTTAACATTTTTTCTTGTTGCTAGGCAGATTTTAAACACAAAATGGATCAAAAACGCAAAACGCAGTAGAAAATGCTTAGATGTGAACCTAAGATTAGGCTGCTGGGACTTGCAGTTCATTATTCACAGAGGTCCATGAATGAATGCCGCAGCCGTGTGGGTGTTTTCAAACCTGACAGATAGTACAGAGAGACTTCTCCCCATACTATGTGCCGGGGGGGGGGGGGGAAGGCGCTGCTGCAGCTATGGGAACATGTTAAATGTTCAATGTTCCACCCTTAAAGCGGGGTAGAACATGTAACACGTTCCCAAAGGTGAACTTATTCTTTAATCACCACTGGGTTCTTCATTTCTGTTATAATATTTTGCAAAAAAATCAATCTCTCTTCATAAATTTAGGCAAAATGTAGTCTGCTACATTTCTTTGGTAAAACATAAGCCAAATCAGTGTATATTATTTAGTCTGTGTGAAAGTTAGAGAATCTAAAAATATGGAATATATTTGAAAATCGATCACTTCTGATGTACTGACATCTCATTTCTTGAGGCCCTTAAAATGTCAGGACAGTACAAATATCCCCCAAATTAACTTTTTGAAAGCAGACAGCATTTATTAAGTGGCATGGTCTTTTGAAATTGTATTTTTTGTCAAATGTTGGGGAAATGAAGAAATTAATTTATTTTCACTTTTTTTTTTTTTTACATACAGTTGTGTTCAAAATAATAGCAGTCAGACATCACTAACCTGATCAATCTCTGAAATGGTAGAAATGATATTTCTACATGGCAAATAATTTACTAGCAGGTGTAGTAGAGTAATAGAAATCCAACAGACCCAACAGTCATGACATGCATGCTGCTGATTCTGTGTAATTGAATCACTAATTGAAAGGGGCATGTTCAAAATAATAGCAGTGTGGAGTTCTATTAGTGAAGTCATTTGTTTCTTTTAAAAACAGGTGGCAGTTATTGCCCTTATTTAAGGAAGGAAGGCAGCAAATGTTCTATATGCTGGTTATAGTGCATTTCTCTCTGAAATTCTGAGGAAAATGGGTCGTTCCAGACATTGTTCAGAAGAAAAGCATACCTTGATTAAAAAGTTGATTGGAGAGGGGAAAACATATAAAGAAGTGCAGAAAATGATAGGCTGCTCAGCTAAAATGATCGCAAATGCTTTAAAATGGCAACCAAAACCTGAAAGACGTGGAAGAAAGTGAAAAACTACCATTCGAATGGATAGAATAGCCAAAATGGCAAGGACTCAGCCAACAAGCTCCAGGAAGATGAAAGAAGGTGTAAAGTTCCCTGTGAGGACTGTTACAATTAGAAGACGCCTATGTGAAGCCAAGCTATCTGCAAGAAGCCCCCGCAAAGTCCCACTGTTGAAAAAAAGACATGTGCTGAAGAGGTTACAATTTGCCAAAGAGCACATTGACTGGCCTAAAGAGAAATGGCGCAACATTTTGTGGACTGATGAAAGTAAGATTTTTCTTTTTGGGTCTAGTGGCCGGAGACAGTTTGTCAGACGACCCCCAAACACTGAATTCAAGCCACAGTACACTGTGAAGACAGTGAAGCATGGTGGTGCAAGCATCATGATATGGGGATGTTTCTCATACTACGGTGTTGGGCCTATTTATCGCATACCAGGGATCATGGATCAGTTTGAATACATCAGAATACTTGAAGAGGTCATGCTGCCTTATGCTGAAGAGGAAATGCCCTTGAAATGGGTGTTCCAACAAGACAACAACCCCAAACACACCAGTAAACGTGCAACATATTGGTTCCAGACCAACAGATGGACGTTATGGAGTGGCCAGCCCAATCCCCAGATCTTAATCCAATAGAAAACTTGTGGGGTGACATCAAAAATGCAGTTTCTGAGGCAAAACCAAGAAATAGAGAAGAACTGTGGAATGTAGTCCAATCATCCTGGCCTGGAATACCTGATCACAGGGGCTAGAAGTTGGTTGACTCCATGCAACACAGATGTACAGCAGTTCTCAGAAACAGTGCTTATACAACTAAATATTCATTAAGTGATTCAAAGGAAAGCAAAATCTTCAAACATTTTTTCAGTTTATATAGTGAATGTTTGAGTTTGTAAAGAAGAATACAAACACTGCTATTTTTTTGAACAGTCTAATATTCACTTTTCTTCAATTTTTTTAGAGGAACAACACAAATTTAATATATTTTTTCTTTATGTTTTGATTTGGAATAGAATGTGTAGTGTTCCCAATGCATTTGTGTGTATGGAAATAAAAGCTATTAGAAGGATTTTGAGCACACTGCTATTATTTTGAACACAACTGTACTGTCACCAGTGCACTACAGCGTTATCATATAGTGTGTGTGTGTGTGGGGGGGGGGGGAGGGTGATCAGGGGAACTGACAGGTGACAGTATGTAAAATAAACAAATAATTTTTTTAACGTTTTTTTCCCGTTTTTTTTACATACTGTCATCAGAATAGTTCAGTGTCACCATGGCGACACTATACTACTTTTGGGGGGGGGTGATCAGAGAGATTTTTTTTACACTAATATTGCTTATAATAGTGATGAACTCTGTTATAAGCAATACTTTTAACTGTCATTTATTTTATTATCAGATACTTACATAGCACTGTCAATTTACACAGCGCTTTACATGTATATTGTACATTCACTTCAATCCCTGCCCTCAAAGAGCTTACAATCTAAGGTCCCTAGCTCACATTCATGCATACACATACCAGGGCCAATTTATGTATCAGCATGTCTTTGGGGTGTGGGAGGAAACCAGAGTACAAGGAAGAAACCCACACAGGCACAGTATCACATATCTGGTCCTGAATCCAAAATGCTGAGAGGGCTCTCTTTGCAGCTAAGTGCTCGGGTGTCCCCGAAGATGGTAACAGGGATCACTAAGCTCACAGAATCAGGACTTGTGGCATGGGTGTCAGGTGCTAATGTGGACTTCATGCAAGATGACCAGCTTGTTCTAGGTGGATGCAGGTTGTGTGGGCAGCATGTAGCAGGGGCATAACAGCAGGTAGGTGCAGCAGGCTGGTCGGCACCTTACGTGGATAACAGCAAGCAGGGTAAGATAGGGACCCGTGATCAGCAGAGGATCAGAGAAGTGGTCAAGCAAGTCAAAGTTATACACAGGACAGGAGACGAGCCATGGACTAGCTGGGATAGAGACAAGAGGGATCCAAGAGCAAGTTGGGACAGTAACAGGTGATTCATAAGCACAAGCACACAGGAAAGCTGAAGGCCAATCAGCAATGTTCGTGTGCCTTAGTCGCTCCTTTACAGGCCAGAGGGTGCCAGAATCTATGGCAGATGGTGTAAACTTGGGTGCACAAGCGTGTGCCATGGAGCACCTACATGTGCCCGTTTTCTCCCATTGCGTGTGTGCACATTTCTGCACAAACAGGTGAGGCCATGTTGGCCATTATGCCAGATCTATGAGCAAGTCTCCTCTGGCTTGTCCCCTGACACACAGGGAGAACTTGCAAACTCCATGCAGGTACTGCCATGGTTGGGATTTGAACCGATAGCTCTAGTGCTTCCAGGTGGAAGTGCTAACCACTTAGCCACTGTGCTGCCGCGAATGACTTTCATTCATGACAGCTTAGTTACTATTGTGATGCTGTGATTGGCTACAGCTAATAACATGATACAGGGTGACAGGTACCATGAGATAGCTGTGGACCAATCACAGCATCACAACAGTAATCAAGCTGTCATGAATGGAAGCTATTCATGATAGTTTTACTCACATTGTAATCAATGTCATAGTGATCATAGCAATCACATGGTATCTTGGCCGTTTATAGCAGCCAGGTACCGAGCACCATGATCCACAGAATCCACCGGACACAGTGGTCATGGGATCGTGTTGCTGAATGCCCCAAGGGGCACGCCAATGCATTACATAGTTACATAGTTAGTCTGGCTGAAAAAAGACAAAAGTCCATCCAGTTCAACCAATAAAAAAAAAAAA